TGGTTATATAAAAGAGATAAAAGAGGGAATCCCTCAGTCTTTTTTTTTTTTTTTTTGGGTCGGTCATGGGGCTTGAACTCTGGGCCTGGGCGCTGCCCCTCAGCTCTTCAGCTCAAGGCTAGCACTCTACCACTTGAGCTACAGCGCCACTTCTGGTTTTCTGGTGGTTCATTGGAGAGAAGAGTTTCATGGGCTTTCCTGTCCGGGCAGGCTTTGAACCACAGTCCTCAGATCTCAGCTCCTGAGCAGCTAGGATTGCAGATGTGAGCCACGGGCGTCCGGCTTCCTTCAGTCTTTTCTGCTGGAGCTGATCTCAGACAGCAATCCTTTAGCTCTCAGCCTCCTGAGTGGCTATGTTTACAGGCACCTTGCTTTAAAAAAAAAAAAGTCAGGGCTGGGAAGGTGGTTCAGTGGTAGAGTGCATGAAGCCCTGGGTTCAATTCCTCAGTACCACAGAAGAAGAAAAAGCCGGAAGTGGTGCTGTGGCTCAAGTGATAGAGTGCTAGCTTTGAGGAAGCGCAGGGGCAGTGCCCAGGCCCTGAGTTCAAGCCCCAGGACTGGCAAAAAAAAAAAAAGTCAATGAAGTTGTTCTGGGTGAAGGTGGCTCTCCTTTTTCAAAACCAAATGATAAATTTAACTTCATTATTTCCTGCTCCGTTGATGGATGAGGATGATAAAGTCTCCTGTGGCTTGGCTCATAATTTTGATAGGTTTTTTTTTTTTTTAACCTAAAGGCAAAATCATTTCTTTCATGTGTAACTTTGCTTGAGTCAGTGTGTATGAATATGAATAACTGCTTATTCTAATGAAATCATTACAATATGTAGATTTCTAATAACCCGGTTTAATAGTGTGAGTTGAAATAACTTAACCAGAACTTCCTTCTTAACCTCATTACCCTTCCCCCACCATCCACCAGCACTGATTTCTCAAGGGACCGTCGCAAAATTGTAGTCCGTAGCAGCTGGGAAGGGGGGAAACATCCCACCGGGGCCCAGCATTTAGGGTACAGAATTAGACTGAATAAATAAGAGTACAATTATCTGCCAAGTACCGTGTCAGGGGTCCAGGAGGATGGCTGGTGGAATGACACCTGTCTTTTAAGAACTTGTTAGGAATGCAGCCATGCAACCCAGCTTTCTGAAAGGGCACTGGCGCATGCAAAATGCTCTTCTAATAATATTCACGATCGCACTTAAACCTCCGCGCAGAATCTGGAAGGAAGATGTGTTTCGAGGCTCCCTCTTCTCTCTAGCTTCTTGTCCCTCAGTTAGTCATCCAGTGACCCCCCCCCCCCCCGTGACTCAAGGGACAAGGAAAGTGGCTGTGTCCCACCTGTCAGTCTCTCCACGTGCAGGTATTCCGGTACACTTCCAGCCTCCAAAGGCGATAAGTGCGTTTGCTCCAGGGCTGGTGGATGAGCAGGGGAGCTGGTGTGTGTGGGGGGGGGGGGGGGGTCCACTTCCGTTATACATCGAGCTCTTTTGGGCATCCATGGACAAGGTCATGTGACACTGGGTTTTTTGTTTGTTTGTTTTGTCTGTTGTGGGGCCTGAACTCGGCCTGGGCGCTGTCCCTCAGCTCTTCAGCTCAAGGCTAGCACTCTACCACTCTATCCCTGGCCAGTCCAGCTTACCCTCTCCCCATTCACCCTTCTCATACAGCTGGCATCACAGGCTTGCGCCACCACACTGGGTTTTTATGGGTTGAAATGGCGGTCTCCAGGACTTTTTTGCCTGGCCTGGAGAAGAACCACAATCCTCCTGATCTCCACCACCCCAAGTAGCTAGGATTACAGACGAGCCACTGAGCTCAGCTTTCCTCTCTCTTTAAGTCAGGGATTTTGTTTGCTTTGTTTGTGGATGTTTCCTGAAGAGAAGAAAAGAATGTCAATCCAAATGCCCTTCCGTAGACGAATGGATCAAGAAAATGTGGTACATATACGCAATGGAATTCTATGCTTCCATCAGAAAGAATGACATTGTTCCATTCATAAGGAAATGGAAAGAAATGGAAAAAATTATATTAAGTAAGCCAGACCCAAAGAAAAGCAGATCACATGATCTCGCTCATCTGTAATAACTAGTCTATGTAGAAGATACTCTAAACAGGGGATCTCAAGATCCTGAACGCTTAGTGCAAGGAAGCATATTAAGCATATTAACATGAACTCCAACTTTTGGGAAAAAGAGGCTTTCATTAGACCCTCTATACAGTTTGGTCTTTTTCTCTATTGTTTTTTTTCTCCATGGTTTCCCTCATTTGCAATAATTAGTATACATCTAGGATAATTTTATCAGATGAGCAGAAAAGCTCAAAAGCTGTGTACATATGACTTTATGAGATGATACTAAGCCAGGCGCCGGTGGCTCACCCCTGTAAAACTAGCTACTCAGGAGGCGAGATCTGAGATCATGGTTCAAAGCCAGCCTGGGCAGAAAAGTCCATGAAACTCTTATCTCCAATAAACCACTGAGAAAACCAGAAGTGGTGCTGTGGCTCAAGTGGTAGAGTGCTCGCCTTGAGCTGAAGAGCTGAGGGACAGTGCCCAGGCCCAGAGTTCAAGCCCCACAACCAACCAAAAAAAAAAAAAAGAAAGAAAAAACAGTTGTTTAAGGATACAGGTGGACCTGTTGCAACAATGAGAAGTACAAGTTGTCATGTCCCAAACGAGCTTTACAGTGTCGGTGGGGGGGGGGGGGGGAAGGGGGGAAGGAGAAGGATTGGGATTGGGGGGGGGAGGGGGGAGGATGGGAAGGGAGGTGAAGGGTAAACAAAGGAGGAGGCTGCAATGCTTGGTAAGAAATGTATGCATTATCCTGCCCATGTAATTGTAACCCCTCTGTACAGTATGTTCACAAATAAAATTAAATTAAATTTTAAAAAAAAAAAGAAAGAAAAAAAAGAAAATGTCTTCAGGATATTGAAATTTGTATCCAGTGCTTTAAACAATGCCCACTAGGGGCTTAGTCCTTTTTATGAAGAAGAGAGGGGGCCAGTGTTTGGCTACAGGCCAGCATTTTGAGGTCTGGCTTCTTTATCTGTGGAATTCCCCAACCTCTGTTCCTCCCATGGACCATCCCATTAAATTGGAAAATAAATCCAATTCACAATAAGGTGTTGGCTGATAAAGGCTTGAGCTATTGCCCCTCCAAGGAGAATTTACATTTTAATAGAGGCCTTCAAGTCTCAAAAGAATCAATATCTCTAAGGGGAAATTTCAAGCACCAGCAATTGATATGTATTTTTTTTTAGAGAGAGAGAAAGCATCTCCCTGTTTCTGATCCAACTAGGTGCTCCTTATATCCTGCTAGACCCCACAAAGAACGGTCTTCTGAAGGGACCTGCCATTTCTGTTCCTTTTTTATTTGGTGCCAATCCTGGGGCTTGAACTCAGAGCACTGTCCCTTAGCTTTTTTTGCTCAAGGCTGGTGATTTACTACTTGAGCCCTGCCTCAACTTCTGGCTCTGTGTGTGTGTGTGTGTGTGTGTGTGTGGTTAATTGTAGATAAGAGTCTCACATACTTTCCTGACCAGGCTGGCTTTGAACTGTGATCCTCAGATCTCAGCCTCCTGAGTAGCTAGGATGACAGGCGTGAGCCGCCAGCACCAACTTGTGAGATTTCTGGCCCCCTTTCCAACACAAGCAGTGCTCACTTTGTGCCATCAAAAGGGCCGCCGAGGGATTCAATGGACATTTCCAAGCTGCCTTAGTGGTCTGAGCAATGCTTCCTAATCCAGACCCTGTTGGCCAGAGAGTGGGGGTGGGGGTGGGCGGCCTTGGGCAGCTGAAGGCCGGTGTATTTCACTTCGTTTTGCTCAGTCACATGCATTTATTTGTTTAGTTATTAATTCTTTTTAGTCATGGAGGCTTGAACTCAGGATGTGGGCGCTGTTCCAGAACTTCTTTTGTTAAAGGCTAGTTAGTACTCTGCCACTTGAGCCACAACCCTTTACTTCCAGCTTTTCTACATTCCTACCCCCTACTTTTTTTTGGGGGGGGTAGGTCAGGGGGCTTGAACTCAGCACCTGGGCACTGTCCTGAGCTCTTTAGCTCAAGGTTAGCATTTTTATCACTTTGCACCACAGCTCCACTTCTGCTTTCTTTTCTCTCTGTCTCTCTCTTTTCCTTCCTTCCTTCCTTCTTTCCTTTCATTGTGGGTCTGGGCGCTGTCCCTCAGCTCAGCTCAAGGCGAGTTCTCTACCACTTGAGCCACAAGCACCACTTCCGGCTTTTTCTGCTTATGTGGTGCTGAGGAATCGAACCCAGGACCTTCTGCATGCAAGGCAAGCATTCTACCACGGAGCCACCTGCCCAGGCCCACTTCTGGTTTCTGGTGATTCCTTAGACAGAAGAGTCACCGGGACTTATCTTTCCCAGGGCTGGCTTCGAACCGTGATCCTCAGATCTCAGCCTCCCGGGTAGCGGGGGTGACCTGCGCGAGCCGCCGCCGGCGCCCCGGCTTTTCCGGTCGCTTTGAAAAGTCCCAACTTTTGACTTTGCGGGCCAGCGAAGGGCGGGGGCACCTGCGGGGCGCGGGGACCCGGGCAGGTGCGGGGCAGGCGCCGCGCGTCCCCGGTCCCCCGCCCCCGCCTCCTCCCCCCGCGCCCGGGTCCGCGCCGCGATCGCGGGGCCGCCCCGTCGCCGCCGCGTCCCCCGCCCGTCCCGGCTCGCGCCCGGGGATCGGGGGCGGCGGGGGCTCGCGCCCGGCTCGGTGGCAGCGGCGGCGGCTCGCGCCCGCGCTCGGCCCGGGGAGCGCGCGGGGCGGGCGGGCGGGCGAGGGCGCAGCGCGGCGCGGCGCGGCGGCATGGGCGCGGGCATCGGCCGGGGCTGCGGGCGCCCGGCTCCCCGCCCGGCTCCGCCGGGTCCCGGTCCCCGCGTGCGGCCGCCTCAGCCTCCCCGCGTCCCCGGCAACTTGCCCCGGAGCCTCGGCGCGCCCGGGGCCGGGCGGGAGCGGGCAGCGGCGTGAGGATCCCCCCCCCCCCCGGCGGGCGGCGCGATGCCTCCGGCCGGCGGCCCCCGAGCCCCGCGCCCGGCCGCCTGGCCCCGCAGCCTGTCCCGCCTGCGCCAGTGCCCGGGCCGCTCCCGCATCGTGCTGGCGCTCGGGGCCACGCAGATGGCGCTGGGATGTGTCATCGTGGCCGTCAGCTTCGCCGCCCTGGCGCTCACCACCTCGGCCCGCGTCCGCCACTCCTGCCCCTTCTGGGCCGGCTTCTCGGTGAGTGCGTGCGGCCCGCGGGGGCCGGGGCGCGGGCGCGCGGGGGCCGCCAGGCGCAGGGCGGAGCGGCCGCGGCGCGAGGCGCAAGTTCAGCACTCAGGGGGGCGGCATGAACTCCGGGGACCGGCTCCGACCCGCGCTCGGGGGCATCGCGTCCCCCGTCCCCACCGCGCTCAGCCCCGGAGTTACTTTTCTTCGGACGCAGAACGCGGGTGCGGGTCCCTGGCCGCCCGCGAGGGTGGCAAGCGATCGATCGGACGCCCCGGGCGGCCGCGGGTCGCGGGCTCGCGGGTGGGGGGGGGTCTCAGTGCGCTGGGGACACAGCCCGGCTGGGGCGGACGGCCGCATCCGAAGCGGGGAGGTGGGATCCGAACCCCGGGCCAGTGCGGCGGCCGTGGTCAGCGCGCGCCTCCCCCGGGCGCCGCAGCCCGAGCCCGGGGCGGGTGTGTGTGTGTGTCCAGGCCCGCGGGGGGCCGTGGGGTCCCCCTCACCCCCTCGCCGCTCCCTGACACGGCCTAGGGGAGTTGCCCCCCCACCCCCCCGCCCAGGGCGGGCAGTGTGCGCGGCGCCCAGGCCGCCAGGATGACCGATCTTCTTTGGTTAGTATTTTGTATTTGAAATTTTTCTTTCTTTTAAGCTCTTGAGCAGCAAATCGGAGGACCCTGCCTGGCAGAGACGCGCAGGAATCTCTGTTCGTCGAGTGCTTCTTGTTTGATTTACAGTCCAGGGCCCATTTTTGGCTTAAAAGGAATCAGCAACAATATTTTGTACTGTTTGGATGCAAGTTGCATTGCTTTGTCCGTCCCCAGCCCCGCGCCGTATTGAAAAAGAATGCACAGAGAACGGGAAGGAGAGATGCCGAAGAGAGATATAATATATACTACAATAATGTATAATACTATATAATATAATATATACTACATAATATTCTATATCTATCTATCTATCTATCTATCTATCTATCTATCTATCTATCTATCTATCTATCTATCTATCTATCTATCTATCTATCTATCTATCTATCGAAGCGCCCGGGGTCTGGCAAACCTTGGCACTTACAACTACACTTGGTTTACAGTGAACAGGCAAAGGCTTAGGACCAAACTCTGGCGTTTTCATTCCACTTCGGGAAGCCAAGCCGAGTCTGTGTCTCGAATGTCTGCTATTTGCTCTTGAGTTCTGAAGAAGACGAAGGAAAAGGCAAACAGCAACCACCACCACCCGCTCTGCCCCGCGTTGCTTCCCTGACCTCTTTCTCTCTTTCCCTCTGCAGTTGGGGGGTGGCTTTGTCTTCCTGGGCCCCCGCGAAGGCCGCAGGGGATGACCCGGGTCCTCCCCAGGGACCATGTCCAGCGCGTGTTTCAAGCCTCAGAGGCTGCGTCCTGCAGCGGGGAGGAGAGCTGGAGCCCGCGGGGGTGGCGGCTGCGGGTGTTCGAATCCAGCGGGGCGCGCGGCAGGCGGGCGCGGTGGGAGGCCGCCTGGCCGGGCGTCTGCACACATCTGTTGCTCCGATTGGTAGCATTACTTCACAGGCATTGTGCTCCGGTCTGTCTGGCGGGCGCGGAGGCTGCAGTGGGCCGCACCAGCCGGCAGAGGGCAGACCGGGGAACCAGCTCCATTTTCTTCCTGGCTTCTGGAGAACACAGCTCGCTTCTCTTCCCCGACCTTAGCTCTTCACCCAAGGGGTGGATCAACCTAACAGGGGTGTGGGGGGTGTGGAGAGACATGCATCGGACCCAGCTGAAAAGCTACCCGGGTGGGAAGAATGCACGTCCGCGTGGTTTCGGTTCCCGCCAACTCGGTTTGGCCTCCTAGGACCCGCGCAGTCATCCCAGCGGGTTCTGCGGCGCGCGCACCGTGCGCCAGGCTCCGGGGCACAGCAGCGACCCTAACCCCAGCCGCTTACCTGGTAGCCGTGGGAAGGGAACTTCTTCATTGGCCCTGGGCGCCTTCGACGCTGTGATGTCTTCGGCCTTTTGGCAGAAAGGATGGCGGCCGCGATGACTTTGACAGCGGTGGGGTGTGAATAAGAAACGCAGGCTCTGTGCCAGGTCCATCCAACCCCCCCACCCCGATTCCAACCCCCCCCCCACCCCGATTCCAACCCATGGCCGGAAAACACTCCGAGAAAACCTGCATCTCCGCTCTGAGCGAACAGACTTCTTTCTTGTCATCCTTTTCGAAGCAGTGCAGTAGATCGCATTCATGGTAGCAGGTGCCCTGTGCCACCGAGCGCCGAGGCATGGAGGAAGGGTGCTGGGCCGTCTGCTCCATGCTAGAGTGTTTGCCTGGCACGAGCAGGATCCTGGGTTCAGTTGCCATCGCTGCCAATACACACTGTGTGTGTGGGGGGGGGGGGGGTGGGTGTGTGGTGTAGTTTCTGGGTAAATACTGCAAGATTTTCCATGAGAGACTTGGGCATCTGTGGAGTTTGTTCCTGCGAGGGGTCCTGGTGCGAGTCCTGTGGGACACTGATGCTGATACTGAGAGTGATGCTGATAGGGAAACCCATACTGGTCCTGATGCTACACAGATGTGGACAGGGATTCTGAGACTGGTCCTGATGCTACACAGATGTGGACAGGGATTCTGAGACTGGTCCTGATGCTGACACAGATGTGGACAGGGATTCTGAGACTGGTCCTGATGCTACACAGATGTGGACAGGGATTCTGAGACTGGTCCTGATGCTGACACAGATGTGGACAGGGATTCTGAGACTGGTCCTGATGCTACACAGATGTGGACAGGGATTCTGAGACTGGTCCTGATGATACACAGATGTGGACAGGGATTCTGAGACTGGTCCTGATGCTACACAGATGTGGACAGGGATTCTGAGACTGGTCCTGATGCTGACACAGATGTGGACAGGGATTCTGAGACTGGTCCTGATGCTACACAGATGTGGACAGGGATTCTGAGACTGGTCCTGATGATACACAGATGTGGACAGGGATTCTGAGACTGGTCCTGATGCTACACAGATGTGGACAGGGATTCTGAGACTGGTCCTGATGCTGACACAGATGTGGACAGGGATTCTGAGACTGGTCCTGATGCTGACACAGATGTGGACAGGGATTCTGAGACTGGTCCTGATGCTGACACAGATGTGGACAGGGATTCTGAGACTGGTCCTGATGCTGACACAGATGTGGACAGGGATTCTGAGACTGGTCCTGATGCTACACAGATGTGGACAGGGATTCTGAGACTGGTCCTGATGATACACAGATGTGGACAGGGATTCTGAGACTGGTCCTGATGCTACACAGATGTGGACAGGGATTCTGAGACTGGTCCTGATGCTGACACAGATGTGGACAGGGATTCTGAGACTGGTCCTGATGCTGACACAGATGTGGACAGGGATTCTGAGACTGGTCCTGATGCTACACAGATGTGGACAGGGATTCTGAGACTGGTCCTGATGCTGACACAGATGTGGACAGGGATTCTGAGACTGGTCCTGATGCTGACACAGATGCGGACAGGGATTCTGAGACTGGTCCTGATGCTACACAGATGTGGACAGGGATTCTGAGACTGGTCCTGGTGCTACACAGATGTGGACAGGGATTCTGAGACTGGTCCTGATGCTACACAGATATGGACAGGGATTCTGAGACTGGTCCTGATGCTGACACAGATGTGGACAGGGATTCTGAGACTGGTCCTGATGCTACACAGATGTGGACAGGGATTCTGAGACCGGTCCTGATGCTGACACAGATGTGGACAGGGATTCTGAGACCGGTCCTGATGCTACACAGATGTGGACAGGGATTCTGAGACTGGTCCTGATGCTGACACAGATGTGGACAGGGATTCTGAGACTGGTCCTGATGCTGACACAGATGTGGACAGGGATTCTGAGACTGGTCCTGATGCTACACAGATGTGGACAGGGATTCTGAGACTGGTCCTGATGCTACACAGATGTGGACAGGGATTTTGAGACTGGTCCTGATGCTGACACAGATGTGGACAGGGATTCTGAGACTGGTCCTGATGCTGACACAGATGTGGACAGGGATTCTGAGACTGGTCCTGATGCTACACAGATGTGGACAGGGATTCTGAGACTGGTCCTGATGCTACACAGATGTGGACAGGGATTCTGAGACTGGTCCTGATGCTGACACAGATGTGGACAGGGATTCTGAGACTGGTCCTGATGCTGACACAGATGTGGACAGGGATTCTGAGACTGGTCCTGGTGCTGACACAGATGTGGACAGGGATTCTGAGACTGGTCCTGATGCTACACAGATGTGGACAGGGATTCTGAGACTGGTCCTGATGCTACACAGACGTGGACAGGGATTCTGAGACTGGTCCTGATGCTACACAGATGTGGACAGGGATTCTGAGACTGGTCCTGATGCTACACAGATGTGGACAGGGATTCTGAGACTGGTCCTGATGCTGATACAGATGTGGATATGGATGCTACTGATGTGGGTATGGATCCTGACACAGATACTGATGCAGATTGATATGAATGTTGGCATGGATACAGATGCTGATACAGATGCTGGTATGGATGCCGATGCTGATAGTGCTGCTGATAATGATGCTTGCCCTTTGACTCTGAAAATCAGTGAAACCATCTTCCCAAGATGTTCTTCATTGAAGAAGGATGATGAGGGTGGTTGGCTTTGGGAGGACCAGCACTGAGGGCTGTAGGCTATACTCTGGCTCTCTTTGAATCTTCTGGAAGGAGGTCTGTGTGTCCCTTGGGCATTCTGACTTTCTTGGCCCTCTGTGGTTAGTACGTGGTGAAGAGCCACTGTGGAAGCACCTCTCCTCTATTTAAGAAAGAATAAAAATAAAAGCCATAGTATGGGAGTGTGGGGGGCTGGTGGCTCACGCTTGGAAACCTAGCTATTCAGGAGGCTGAGGATCTGAGGATGGAGGTTCAAGGTCAGGTCTGAGCACAGTGCTTACTTGCATAAAGTTTTGCCAAGAGAAATGGGGTGACACAAAGGAGGGAA